CACCATGCCCGGCTAATTTTTTATATATATATCAGTTGGCCAATTAATTTCTTTCTATTTATAGTAGAGACGGGGTCTCGCTCTTGCTCAGGCTGGTTTTGAACTCCTGACCTTGAGCAATCCGCCCGCCTCGGCCTCCCAAGAGCTAGGATTACAGGCGTGAGCCACAGCGCCCGGCCTGTTTATTTCTTTTTAAGAAACAAAAGAATATTCTGAGTAACTCAATAAAGTGAAAGAGAGGAAAGAAAATCTCATCTATTCAACTCCCACACATGAGCACTGGAATTTATGTTTGGCTACAAATGTCAAATGTCACAACGCCCAGCTTGGGACTCTCTCCAGGATGTGAAGCAGGCACCCCTCAGGACACCTCTGACCTCCACCCACAACTTCTGGGGAATGGCACAAACACATACATTTGGTCGCTGTTCCCACCTCTGGCTGCTTGCCCTGGACACACTGAGGTTTTCACAGGCCCGAGGCTTCTTCCCTGAACGAGGCATGGGGCCATCACAGCTATGTGCCTCTCGGGGTTTATGCCCAACACTGTCACGGTCTCAGGGTCCAGGGATTCCTGAGGCCACGCTGCCCATGGCACCCCAGCATCAGGCAGCCATCCTAGGCTGAACAAAGTGTCTTTTATTTGTGACATACAAATACAACCAATGCAAAAAGAGATCACTTTTTCCCTTTGATTCCAGTGATACCAAATTGCTAAAGAAAAAAATACATACATCAAGGAGTTTATATTTCAAGTTCCCTCTAAAAAGACCAGAAAAGGTTAAAAAGAACCATACACATGTCCTATACACATTTGATGCCAACAAAAATAACCTGAAATAGGATGAATACAACTAAAATTTTTAAAATCTTAGAAAATATCTTAACATGCCCCTCAACAAAAAACAACAAACAGAAAGGCTAGTACAAAAGGCCTGCTGTTTCTCAAAAACAAGACCTAGGACAAGTGGAGAAAGACTGGTGTTTTAGAGATTAACGGGCTCGACACCAACAAGAGTGATCTGCTGGTCTCAGACACCTCTCCTGCCCCAGCCCAGACCTCCTGAGCAGCTCTTGGGGGTGTGGCCTGAAGAGGCTGGGGTGAGCAGGACATGCACCGAGCGCCTATCTACCAATAGTCTTGGTGCCAGGTGTCAATCACCGGAAAGAGAACACTGAACTCACCTTACATGGGATTTACACTGGGGGTTCCTCTTGGTCCCCTTAAATGGGAGGTATCAGAAATCCATGATCTAAGACAATAAATATTTATCATTCTGTGTCTTTTGAGAGACAGGGATCAGAGGAAAACCTCTTCCTAAACATGCTTCTGTCGTTTCATGATTCTTAGGAGAGTCTACCTCTCCTACCCTCTCCCAGCAAGTTCAATTCTCACCTGGGGTGAAACCCCCGGCAGCCAGCAGGGTAGGTAGGGCAAAGGCAGACATTCCAGTGTAAAGCTGCGAGGCCCTCTCCAAGGAGCACCCGGCCCCACTGCTGGTGAGGTCAAGAGCAGCACAGAGTGCTCAGCAGAGGGCCAGGCTGGGCAAGGGAGGCCCAGCACGCACAGGCCCCTGCACAAGCAGGAATCCAGGTGAGAAGCAAGGACCACGCTGGCAAAATCTGCCAGGACAGACTGCATGAGCTGGGCAGAGGGCAGGATGTGAGCAGACACTGAGGTCAGAGGACTGACAGACTTCCAGGAGAGCAACTTCACAAAGGCTAGAACCTTTTTGATACTCCCTAAAGCAGAGCTCAGGGATGCCCAAGGGGAGGTGTTAGGTGCTTTTTCCTTGACAAGGATTTGGTTTGTCTTCCCTGGAACAGGAACAAGGCCTAGAGATGAGGATGACTACAGGTTCTGAGCCTGCATCCTATCCCTTGAGAGAGGAGGAAGGCCTTCTCCTCCCCCTGCTCCAACCTGCTGCCACAGGGTGACACCAGAGACAGAAAAGCAGCTGTTTTGGCCACTGAGAGGCATTCCTGTTGCAGCCTGAGCTATGGCTCGCCTGGGCCAGGCAGTGGCACTAGTGCCTCACTGAGGCAGCGAGGGGCGAGGCTGGGGAGCGCAGGCAGAGGGGCCTGCTGCTGGCTGGGGGCTCTCTGAAGAGGGGGGTGGCAGTGGGGAGGGATGCCCCACACCTTCAGAGAACTATCAGCACCAAGAGATGAGAGGAAATGGCATTAACTACACCAGGAACGAATGGTCCTTCTGGGGGAAGATGAGGGGCTCCCTGATGTTATTCCCCCCTTGAGACTAAGAACAGAGGTATCTAGGATAGAGGTGAGAGGCAGGGGGAAAAGAGCAGTGAGGGGCCACAGAGAGGAACAAGCAGAACCTCTGGCTTTCTTCTATGGATGAAAAGCTCAAGTCACTGCCGTGAGATCAAGAGGTTAAGCTTAGAATGCAGCAAAATCCAGGAGCCCAGAGAAGCCACCGTGCCCACAGCAGGCCCCACACAGCACCTTGTTCCTGGTACTCTAGGCATCTCCCACTGACAGCGATGGAGACAGAGGCCGCCTTCCTCCCAGAGTCGGCTGGTCCCGAGACAACTCCACTCCGTGAATCCATAAAAAGAGCCTTGCTTGCTTCCTTGTATCTTGGCACAAAATATCTTCCCACAGTCTCCATCAGAGCGTTCCACCCACGAAAGCGTGAGTCTCTCTGAAGCCTCTCTCTACATCCAGATCTCACACTGGGTCTGTTCCTCTTTGGGGACAAGCAGACCTCAGACCCAGGACTCTAGGACTTTCATAAAGGTGGGCATGAACATTCCATTTGTCCAAGCATGTATGTAGGGGGCTGTCGAGAATCCAGCTGCAGAGAAGTGGGGGAACCAAACAAAGAAGAAGCCACTGTGTGGGTACGAGCGTTATGGCTGGGCCTCTGCCAGCTCTTCCCTCTCCACTCCCCCGGCACTCTGGTCTTCTAGGAGAGAGGAGGAAGGGTAGTTTGGACCTCCTCCCAGGGTTCTGTGCTCTCAGGGTACTACCTGGCACGTGCCAGGCTGAGGAGGCACCAGCTCTGAGGCACCTGGCAAGTGGCATGAGACCAGGGAAGAAGATAGACCTTAGGAGACAGCATTGTGACTTGCAAGTGGTTCTGGGAGTTCAGTGGCAGCAGCCACCACAGTGTCCACCTGCATGGGAATGCTGGCTGTCCCCAAACTTGGTCCTCCGGCTCAGGATCTCATAGGAGCAATCCTCTCCACAGCAACCAGACATGCTAGGGGAAGAGTCGTCAATTTCAAATCTGCAAGGCAGGCAGGAGAAAAGGGTTGGTTGGAGACAGCTGAATGCCTTCCTCCCTGACCTGAGAACTTATCCACCAGCCACACTAATGAGACCCCTAGGATGAGGGCACAGGAGAGGTGCAGGGGACCAAGTCAGAGGGCACTGCCACACCATCTCACCAATCTTAAGCCCCCACAGACCACTGGGCTGGGAGCTCAGCATCAGGCTGGGTGGGGGCCAAGACCTGGACAATGGCACTGGGCAGGCACCTCCTACCACCCAGAAGGCCCACACCAGGGCCCAGCTCCTTACTGCAGTGCTTCTCTGAAGAACTGGTAGGCGCCATGATTGTGTTTAAATACCGTTAACATAACCTTCTTCATCTGTGTGCTAGAAGAAAGTAGAGCAAGCACCTTTTAGAAAGAGAAACAGAGACTAAAGCCATGCATGCTTCCTCTCTCTCCTGTCTCTGCCTGCTACCTCCTTTCACACTAAGAAGTGTTCCTAGATAGGCATAGTGGCTCACACCTGTAATCCCAGCACTTTGGGAGGCCAAGACAAGACGATCGCTTGAGGCTAGGAGTTCAAGACCAGCCTGGGCAATATAGCAAGATGCCATCTCTACTAAAAATTAAAAAAAGAAAAGAAATTAGCCAGGTGTGGTGGCATGCACCTGTAGTCCCAGCTACTCAGGAGGCTGAGGGAGGAGGATCACTTGAGCCCAGAAGTTCAAGGCTGCAGTGAGCTATGATCACACCACTGCCCTCCAGCCTGATGACAGAGCAAGACCCTGTCTCAAAAAAAAAGGAAGAGAAGTGTTCCTGAGTCTCACCTCTAGCCTCCAGAGGTCTGGGGCCCCCACCTGACTGGCTTCTTCCAGGGCAGGGATCTTTCTCACTTCCTCTCTGTAGCCCCATTCCACAGGTACAGAACTTGGCACACATCAGGCACTCAAAAGATACCTGCTGCGCTGAGCTGACTGTACAAAATCTGGAGTCACAGCAAGGCAGGGAGCATCTCCTGACAGCATCTTACTCCCAAACATTCCTGAGCCTTTTCTTCTAAGGAGGCTCGAAGACTAGTGGATGCCTCAGTGCCAGCTCCTTCCAAATGAAGGACTCGCAGGGCCCTTACCTATTGGCCATGAGCTGCAGGATCTGTATGAGGAACTTGCCCAGGCCTTTCCGCCGCACCTTGCTTTCCAGCTGCACTTCGTAGCTGGGTGAGAAAAGCAGAGAGGTGAGCGTGCAGGATGGGACATGAAGAGGCTGCAAGGTCTGTTGGAGGAGCTTGCAGCCCCTGGCAGCCCACTGACCGACAGGCCCAGTGGGCTTTGCCACCTGGAGAGAGTGCCCAGAGCATCACCAGGGTCTCCCCACCGCACCACCCCACCCAAGCTGTGGCTCCTACCAGTACAGGACTTCATCCCCACACTCCACGTCAAACCGGAAGTGAGAAAAGGCAACGGGGACAGAACTATTTTCCCAAGCAATGAGGTACCAGGCTCGGTCATCTGTCATTTCCTCTCGTTTCTCTCGGTCCTTCCAGCCCCACTCACTCTGCTCATACCTGGGGAATTTGGGGGCAGTCAGGACAGGGAAGTGCAGAAGAGAAAAGCCAACTGGGGAATGTCCGGGCATGCTTACATGGTTTGCATATTTGTTTTGGTCAGGTCGAAGGCCCAGTCCACAGTGGCTGGCTCCAGTCCAGACACTCGCTTACATTCAATGGAGACATTCAACCTGAGAAGAGGACCAAGGAGGTGTTAGGAGCCGGCTGTAGGATCAGAGCTTCAGCCAGGGCACTGCTGTTCCTCCCTGAAAGCCTAACAGGAAGGCAAGCCTGGTCTCAGTCACTTTCTGGCAAAAAGTCAACCCTGCCCCTTCCTCAACATGACTAGGAAAGGTGGCTATGCAAGAACTGAGCCTTTCAGGCTGAGATTAACCCGTCACCACCCACCCCACCATCCTAACCACAAGGCCCATTTCCTGCCTGCCCGCACCATCCTTACCAGCCAAAGTACTTTGTAAATTTCTTGTCTCTCTCTGCTACCTCTTTGCTCTTTTCCTACCCTCTTGGTCTCTTCTGTACTTTGTTATAAACACAGTTTTTCCGCTTAGTTCCTGCCCCTAGGCATTTTTCCTGTTGCTTTAATTTGTGAACTGACATCTCACTGGGCTCCCACCTGACCTCTTCCTTCTGCCTTCAAAACTTCCGGGTGACTTCAGGCCCATCAAGGAGACTATGCCTCAGCCAGGCCCAGTGGCTCACGCTGTAATCCTAGCACTCTGTGAGGCTGAGGAGGGAGGATTGCTTGAGGTCAGGAGCTCAAGACCAGCTTCAGCAAGAATGAGAACCAGTCTCAACTAAAAATAGAAAAAATTAGCCAGGCATGGTGGTACGTGCCTGTAGTCCCAGCTACTTGGGAGGCTGAAGCAGAAGGATGGCTTGAGCCCAGGAATTTAAGGTTGCTGTGAGCTAGGCTGACATTGCGGCACCCTACCCAGGGTGACTAAGAGAGACTCTGTCTCAAAAAAAAAAACACTGTGGCTCAACACACTGATATTGATAATCAGTGTGAAAAGAAAAAGAAAAGACGACTATGGCTCAACAACCCCCTGCCAGGAGTCCCACCTGCCTCTTCCTCTGTAGCAGGTATTCTTGGCCGATCAGACAGGCTAAACCAGGAACCAACCCAATGCTGCTTTCCTAGACTAACAAATGCTATAGGCATAAAGGTATTCATTTCTAAATGAAATTTAAGTAAGATATGGTTAAACTCCTCGGCCAGTGAGATGACATTTTCTAGGTCAGGGGTCCTCAAACTTTTTAAACAGGGGGGGTCAGTTCACTGTCCTTCAGACCATTGGAGGGCCGGACTATAGTTTAAAAAAAACTATGAGCAAATTCCTATGCACACTGCACATATCTTCTTTTGAAGCAAAAAAATAAATGGGCAAAACACCCACATGTGGCCCGCGGGCCGTAGTTTGAGGACACCTGCTCTAGGTAGTACATTCTGAAAGGACAGCAGTAAGCAAACTCTAAGTAAGCCTTCAAAGAGCTACCACATGAGTATCTTTCAGCAGCTCTTGACACAACCCTCAGAAGATGTTCCCACTGGAATCCACCATCACCTCTGCTGACTTGCACATCACGTGAGCTGCATACATGCTCAGTCTTGTAAATTCAGAACCTCCCACCCCTAACCCTCAAGAGTCTTCCTTTCTTCGCAAGTACCAACCAGGTAGCAGACAGAATAGCCCAAACACAGCACTGCATCTGTCTTAACTACAAAATGTCCAAAGTCTGTCTGCAGGTATAAATTCTACATTGACCTTTAATTTAAGTATGTGAAAGTAGGCTCACACAAAATTCAAGGCACAAAGGAGCCCAGAGTCTGCTGGCAATGCCTACTTCAGAGCTATTCATCATTTCTGGAAGTCAGCAGGCATGTGGAATATGGAAACGCTAAGAGATAACACAACAAAGAATCCCTAAACTACATAGAAGGACTCCCCAGAAGTTGAATGACAAAGCTGCCAGAGGAGGCCGGGAGTGGTGGCTCACACCTATAATCCTAGCACTCCTGGGAGGCCAAAGTGGGTGGCCGAAGTGGGAGGATCGCTCAAGGTCAGGAGTTCAAAACTAGCCTGAGCAAGAGCGAGACCCCGTCTCTACTAAAAATAGAAAGAAATTCATTGGCCAACTAAAAATATATAGAAACAATTATCCAGGCATGGTGGCGCATGCCTGTAGTCCCAGCTACTCGGGAGGCTGAGGCAGTAGTATTGCTTGAGCCTAGGAGTTTGAGGTTGCTGTGAGCTACGCTGACACCATGGCACTCTAGCCCAGGCAAGAGAGTGAGACTCTGTCTCAAAAAAAACCAGCTGCCAGAGGAACTGTAACGCATTTGATCAAACAGGAAGAATCAAAAGTGTGATGCTGGCCGGGCACGGTGGCTCACGCTTGTAATCCTAGCACTCTGGGAGGCCGAGGCGGGCGGATTGCTCAAGGTCAGGAGTTCAAAACCAGCCTGAGCGAGACCCTGTCTCTACTATAAAAAAATAGAAAGAAATTAATTGGCCAACTAATATATATATAAAAAATTAGCCGGGCATGGTGGCTCGTGCCTGTAGTCCCAGCTACTCGGGAGGCTGAGGCAGGAGGATCACTTGAGCCCAGGAGTTTGAGGTTGCTGTGAGCTAGGCTGACGCCACGGCACTCACTCTAGCCTAGGCAAGAAAGCAAGATTCTGTCTCAAAAAAAAAAAAAAAAAAGTGTGATGCTACAAAATTCAGATGCAGCTATGAAAGGTAAATGGAGAGTTACCTGCTTCATAATTCAAGTATCTGTATTTATCTATTTTGTTCATTAAAATACACCAGCTGCTACTTACAGAGCTGGATATATTCTATTTCCTCCTTTAAAAAACCTTGCAAGTTTGGCAGCATCATCCTCTTTGGCAGATAAGAAAATGAGGCCTGAGGAGTATGAGTGACTTGTCCAACTAGAGTTAATAAGAGGCCCAGCTACAATTCAGCCTATACCTCTGAGAAACCATAACCCCTATTTTTCTGTAAGCCAAGGTGTTATATTATAGAAGTATGACTCATGAACAGCATCCCAGGTAAGACAGATTATGCTTATTCTATAAACCAAAAGGACAAAAAAGGGGAGGAGGCCTTTAATCCTGATCCTACAGTAAATTGAATCAGCAGTAATAACAGCTAACACCTAGCTTTTAGTACACTCCAGGAACTAACACTTTACATCCAATCCTTCTGACAATTCCAGAAGGAAAGTATTATTAGACCCATTTCTGATTAGAAAATTGAGGAACAGAGAAGTTAAATAATTTGTCCAGGGTCAAACAGCCAATAAGTGACTTTTAACAATTATACTATATACTCAGGGCAAGAGCAATGGATTGGAATTGAAAGTCCCCTCATCTAGTAAATCTCTTTCCTATAAAGAGTAAAAAAAATAAAAAGAAAAGAGTAAATATAAAATAATAATTAAAAAAAAAAAAGTCCCCTCAGCTGTCAGGGGTAAACTCTATAGAAACCTCCTTTGACTTCTCTAAGCCTCAGTTTCCCATGTATAAAATGAAGGTGTCAGCCTAGACAATTTTCCAAATTTATTTCAGCTCAATGATTCTTTGTATAGAGAAAACAAGTCCTAAAGAGACATCTGAGATTAAGTGCAATCTTTGCTCATTTACAGATTCCTTTGTCAGCCTAACAGTAGGATTTTATATCAATAGAGGGCAGTAGCCAGTTTCTGCTTTTTCATAATAATTAAGAAGAACGAGAAAGTTTGGGTCTGAGGAAGCCTCCTCTGGAGAGGTGACTTCCTGAAGACATTCAAGGAGACAACAGTTAGGAACACTAAACATGACTCACCCATTTCGATCATATTTCTTGAACACTGGGAAAGCCTCTAGAGGGTCTCCAAGCTGTGGAGGGAAAGAAAAGAGAATAGCACAGACAGGTGTGGTGGAGGTGCAGGCCCTGCCCCGAGTCCTGTTTTCTGGGAGTGTGACACTGTGGGGACCCACGTTAGGAGGTTAGGTCTGGCCCCAGGAGCAGCCTCACAGACCCTTCCATCTGCCTCAGCTCTGAAGTCACATGTAGGAGGAAGGCTTTGGTAAGAAGGCCAAGAGATTTAAGTTCAGTGTCATTTGACAGGCTAAGAGGAGATTTTACTGGCCTATGGGCATAATACCTGCTCACAGCACAGCCAACACAAAGGAGAGGCCACCTGATCTGCTCTCACACTTCTGAGAAGCAGCCCCAAACTGACCTCAGCTGGACAAAACCCCAAATGGAAAATCACATCCCTGAGCCACATCCTCATAAATGTGGAGTGTTGACTATGAGTGGGCTAAAACAATGATCAAAAAATGGGATATGAAATGGGGGCAGGAAGGATTATCAGAATTCCCACTTCAGTTGGAAAGCCACGGCTACCAGGCTGCTCCCGTCCTGGCCCACGTGGTGCTCAGATCTGCAGCTACTCCTGCCCTGACTGCAGCCCCCCGGAGGACCAAGCCACTGCATCTCCTCGGCTCCCCACAGCCTTCAGTGCCTCATGTGCAGCTAAGAAATGTTTGGAGAAATCAATGAGAAAAATGTATACTACATTTCATCAAGAAGTTTCTTCCCTAGAATGCAAACTCCTAACAGAAATTTCTCCAGATCCTCTTCTATCCATAAGAAAGGAGACCTACAGAGAAGCACTTCCATTGGGTTCCACATTTCCCGGAACACCTGGGTCAACTGCTGACACCTCCTCCCAACTCTCCCGCCCAGTCAGAAGTGCTGGGCTCATTGCCCTGCCCTGCAAGGAGACAAGGCTGCAGACACAGGTATATCACAATGCTGCCACAGGGTGGCGCCAAGAGAAACCAAACTAAAAACCAAATTGAAATCCCAAGAGGCAGGGACTGGGAAGGAGGGGACAGTCACCCTGTTGGCGGCATCCACTTTGGCACAAACGGCATCCATGGCAGCTCGCTCCTCCAACCGCTTCTGCTTCTTCTCCTTGGCTTTGCTCGACTTTCTCTGCAACAGAGAAAAGCAACACAGGCTGGAAGGGGCTATAGCCAACCAAAGAACTCCCTTTCCCTTTGAGGAACAAAAAGGTCCCTGCATCCACAGGCCACACACTTGTAAGATGGGAAAGACCCAGGCGAGTAACATCGCTTCATACCAGTGAGTCCCCAGGAGTGTCACTAGACTTCTCAGCTTCCTTTCAAGAAGAATACTGACCCTCCTGATCACGGGTCACTATGGGGACCCAGTGAGAAAGCGGATAACACCTGCAGCAGAGCTGGCCCTCAGCAGACGCCCAGTAAATACGCACTCTTGTGCTCCCTCCTAAGGAGGGAACACCCAATTTTAGGCACATTTAGGACAGCTTTCAGAGAGGAGATAGCATATGAGGTAGCTGCTGATGGCTGGTCCTAAGTTTATTTAATAAAGCTTTTTCAGGGTCTTCCAGCTTTGGGAAATAAAATATGGTCAAGGGCAGTTCCTATGGGAGCTGGGTCCCATTTCAGGCTGAGGCCGTGGTGCTCTGGCTTACGAATACAGAGGCATTCCCCAGAAGCTCGGCTCAGTCAAGGCCAGTAAGTAGTGGCAGGCACACCATGAACCTAGCGACAAGGGCAGAGTGCAGAGCCCCAAGGGGTTCACCTCAGGACAGAAGTGACGCTGACACATGGCCAGCAGGACCAAGTTGCAGGCACACAGGCAAGGGGAGCAGCAAAGGGAGGCTCTCCTTGCAGAGAGGGCCCAACGGCACATGGCCCACTGCTGCATCTAGATAAGATCCTGTTTTGAGGCAGATGTAGGGTTCTCTCAGGCCTAATGGGACCTCTTTCTCTCCCTCTTGTAAAAAGCTGGGTGAGGGCCGGGCGCGGTGGCTCACGCCTGTAATCCTAGCACTCTGGGAGTAGCCGAGGCAGGTGGATTGCTCGAGGTCAGGAGTTCGAAACCAGCCTGAGCAAGAGCAAGACCCCGTCTCTCTATAAATAGAAAGAATTAATTGGCCAACTAATATATATATATAGAAAAAATTAGCCAGGCATCATGGTGGCGCATGCCTGTAGTCCCAGCTACTTGGGAGGCTGAGGCAGGAGGATTGCTTGAGCCCAGGAGTTTGAGGTTGCTGTGAGCTAGGCTGACGCCACGGCACTCACTCTAGCCTGGGCAACAGAGTGAGACTCTGTCTCAAAAAAAAAAAAAAAAAAAAAAAAAGCTGAGTGACACAGGGAAAGAACGAGGCTCTAGAGTCTGACAGGCCTCGTCCAAAGCCTCTCCTGGTCTCTACTCCCTGCAGTCCTAGGACAGGATACAGCCTTCTGTAAGCCTCCTTCCCTGGTCTGTTGAGTGAGGCTCTTAATACCTCCTTGAAGGTATCAAACCCATGAGGGGTAATCTGGCATGTGCTCTATAAATGACAGCTCTCACTCTTACTCCCAAGGAGGACTAGAAAGCACAGGCATGTAGAGGTCACCCACACACCCTAAGTCCCTGGAAGGCACCCCAAGGCCCTAATTAGCTGGCTCTGCTTCTTACCAACAGCACAGCCTCTTCTTTTTTTTTTCCTGAGACAGAGTCTCACTTTGTTGCTCAGGCTAGAATGAGTGCCATTGCATCAGCCTAGCTCACAGCAACCTCAAACTCCTGGGCTCAAGCGATCCTGCTGCCTCAGCCTCCCGAGTAGCTGGGACTACAGGCATGCACCACCATGCCCAGCTAATTTTTTCTATGTATATTAGTTGGCCAATTAATTTCTTTCTATTTATAGTAGAGATGGGGTCTTGCTCTTGCTCAGGCTAGTTTCCAACTCCTGACCTCGAGCAATCCACCTGCCTCGGCCTCCCAGAGAGCTAGGATTACAGGTGTGAGCCACCGTGAGCCTCTTCTTTTTTTTTTGAGACAGAGTCTTGCTTTGTTGCCCAGGCTAGAGTGAGTGCCATGGCGTCAGCCTAGCTCACAGCAACCTCAAACTCCTGGGCTCAAGTGATCCTTCTGTCTCAGCCTCCCGAGTAGCTGGGACTACAGGAATGCGCCACCATGCCAGGCTAATTTTTTCTATATATATTAGTTGGCCAATTAATTTCTTTCTATTTATAGTAGAGACAGAGTCTCACTTTTGCTCAGGCTGGTTTCGAACTCCTGACCTCAAGCAATCCGCCTGCCTAGGCCTCCCAGAGTGCTAGGATTACAGGCGTGAGCCACTGCGCCTGGCCTAGCACAGCCTCTTCTGACCCCCACACTCCCTTTCCCTGAGCTCTCTGGAGAGAGGTTTGACAACCCCTAATTACATCCTAGCCCTGACACTGCCTGGCTCCAGGAAAGAGCACTCAGAGCGATTAACATTCTACCCAAGCTGAAAAACCAGCCACTGGGAAAGTTTCTCGGTATAAATTCTACCTTTGATTTTCCAAGGAATACCACTGCTTACTTCCTACTTCAAGCAACCAGGAGGCATAATAGTTCAAATACCAGAAACACAGGAATGGCATACAGGTACAAATTCTACCAACACTAGATATTAACTATCTTCTGACTGAGCACTGTGCTGGGAGCCAGGCTAGATTCCATTTCCTATCTCCCTAGAGGAAGAAACAGAAGAGAATATGCCATCCGTATAAGGCTGGGATCCTGGGACAGAACTACTAGCTCTCTACCATGGAGAAGTTTTAGAGCATCCATCTTCGTCTCTGGAAATTTGGGTTTTAAGACAACATTGAGATACTCCAAGCTTGCAAAGTACTTTCACAAACATTATGTGTTATCAAACCATCACCTCCCTTTATATCTGAGGAAACTGAGGCTCGATGGGATGATGTGACTTGCTCAGAGTTCCCCAGAGAGTAAGCAGCAGAGGGAAGACTCAATCCCAGCGGTCAGGCCACACAGATTCAGTGGTTGTGCCACCAGCCCTGCTGTCTCCCACTGGGAGAGCTACTTCCACTCAGTCATCAACAAAGACCTTCTCATGTCTGATAACATAAGGCCTAGGACCTCAGAAACCCTCAGGCAGTCACTTAGCAACTCTTTCTCATTGTCCACCTTGCTTGATAACAATTTGCCAACTGTGCTACCCCAGGCCCTACCTATCCCTGCCACAAGGCAGAGGTGAGGAAAAGGTAAACCTCACATGGAAGGTGTCCAGGGCTGCACAGGGGGACAGAGAGATCATGAGCTTTGGCATTACCTGGACTGGGCCAATGCTCCTTCTGCCAGCATGACTTGTGAAAGCAACTCCATCTCCAGGACCATGGGGACACAACCGCTGGCCTCACAGAATAGCTATAAGGACAGTCAGAAGCTAGCACACCTTCACCCTGCATGCTCACTCTCTTACCACAACACAGAGCTGAAGGATCAGAGGACCCAGAAAGCAATGAAACCTGGATTCCCTCCATCGAATCTCATTTCTAAGCAAGAGAAGTAATTCCAAAGCACAAGCAGCAGGAAGGCCGGCCCCAGGCCTCCAGGAACTCTAAGGGCTCATTCATGCAGAACTGGCAAACCAGGCAATCCTCTGAGTGGGGACTGGGGCTGCCATGGCCTGAGACTGAGATAAGGAAAGAGCCCCTTAAGCACTTTCCTGCCTACCCACATGGCATGAGGGAGGCTGCAACAGACTGGGACAAACAGGTAGAGGCTCACCCCCAAACTAAGAAAAGTGGTCTCCCACAGTTCCAATTATCTTTGTTCCTGCCTTGCGGGGGTAAGGCTGTCCCACAGGGACATAAGAAAATGCTCCTAATTAAAATGAGAAATATGCACAATGAATGGTAAGCTCATTGTGGTTAAGTGTCTTTCCCTAGATAGATAAATAGAAAAGTAGATAGATGTGCACATGGGATTCCAAGTCAAGAGACCTGGATTTAATATTTGATTCTTAGCTCTTTCACTTAATAGCTGCGTGACTTTAGGCAAGTTACTTAATCTCTTTTCAGCAAATTGCTCAATTTCTCTGAACCTCAGTTTTCTTATCCATAAAATGGGGCCAACAATGCCTACATCAACATCATCACAGTACTATTATGAGGACAAAATGACACAGTGTCCTGGATATAAAAATTCTTTACAGTAACAACTTCTGTTTACAAAGATTCTGCTTGTGCTTTAGCAAAGATGATCTATTTTAATCTTTACAACTCAGCAAGGTACATGTGCCTACTTCTTTGATGAGAAATCTGAGGCACAGAGAGTTTCACTTTTAGGGTCACACAGCCAGTGAGTAGGGTTCTCAAAGAGGTCTTCCTTCCACAGTCTCCCTCCATTCCCACCAGACTCTACATTCCATGAGGCACAGGTTATATCTGCTTTATTTGCCAATGTTTATCAGTATTCAAACAGCAGGTACTCAGTTCATATCTGTTGAATGAATCATCCAAGATTCAAATCCAGGTTTGAACCCTAAGTCCATGCTCCTTCTACTACATTGCAATTACATTTATATGGCACTTTTTGTTATGAAGTGCTATACAGCTATTTTCATGTGCAGCTGTGAAAATCCTCCCTTTATTATTCCTATCAAAATAGTAACTCCACATGCAGTTCCATGACTGCTAGGGGTCCCAAAGAAAAATGAAAACAAACAAAAAAAACCACGTGGGGTGGGGAGGAGACACCTTCTAGAAAAGGAATTTGATATCTCTTAAATTTTCAGTGTCAGTACCTCCAACCCACATGGTAGCCAGGACCTGAAAAGAACTTCTGGTTTTGGTGAAGGGAAAAAGAGATCTAAATTTTAATTCCTAAAAGGCTACATATGTGTGGCTGCTAGGGCGAAAGAACTTTGAAGAGAACATGCACCATCTAAGATCATGCTGTCAAATGGAGCATGGAGACAGAGGGTGACCACTAGGAATGATGACTTCCTGACACTGAGTTGGGCCATCCCCAGCTCCCACTGAAGAGAAGGTTCCAGCTATTTCAGGGAGGATAATTTAAGTCTCTCTGTTGCTATTTTATGCCAGCAGAGACTTGGTAGGGGCTGTTCTGAGAAGCACATCTGTGAAGTATGAGTAATAAGATTGGGGCCCTGAAGGAAGCAAGGATCATAGCATCTCTGGGGCCTGCTACTTCAACTCACCCAATGAGGAAGTGCTGAACCAGAATGGCATGTTATGCTTCTTGTTTTCTGTTCAGTTTGTACTGGCTGATTCTGGTGGACAGTTACTAAGCCATACAGGTTTCATTTAGTTTCAACAACAGCAAGGGTCTGGGACCTTTTCACCAAAATCTGGGTTAAATATGCCTAAGGTCTCTATACTTCATTTTCTATATATGAAGTACACAGTACCCAAAATTCCTTACTGAAATAATGACTACTCAATTCCCCACTGCTAACTTTGACTGGCTAAAAAATAAATAAATAAATAAAAATAAAATGATGACTGTTTTGACACAGTTTAGACAACTATTTTTGTCTTGTAAGTTGATTTGTTCAGTCAATAAATATTTGGGTGAGAGAAAAAAATCTAGGTTAATAACAGCAGGGACAAACCTGATGGGTTAAAAATAGCACAAATCTATTTTAGATCACTAAAGTGAAGGCTGAGAATACAGGCAAAAATAACAGCCACTACTTATGAGGCACTTCCTTGGCTACTTACATCCATTATCTCATTAATCTTCACTGCTACCCTAAGAGGTAGGTATTAGCATCCCCTTGGTGAGGAAATTCAAAGACAGAAAGGCCAAGTCACGGGCACAATATTATGCTGCTAGCCAACAAAGATGGGGCAAGCACCAGGTTATCTCTGGCTCCAAAGTCAGGTTTCCCTAAAGGTGGTGGAAATTTCATGTAAATACTAATATAGGCAGTAAATGGAGGGCCAGTTATCTTTTTAGGAGGGTAACTGATACTGCTCCAATTGGGACTTAGCAAGGTGAACTCACAGAAACATGCAAATAACTTCTGCCCAAGCCGGTATGCCGGGAAAGGGCACTAAAACGCGCCTCCAGGCTGCCGGCAAAGAACAGGTGGTCAATATCCATCCGCAGCTGCTGCCATCACCAGTGGTCCCCCCATCTGCCCTGCTCACCTGCACAGCTCTGCGCTTGCATAGCTACCTGCACTACTAAGACTACTAACCACCCAAGTAGTATAATCACTTCATCGCAACCGGGAGGCCGCGAAGGCAGGCCTCTGTGGGAAGGGAGGAGTGTTTCATCAGGAACAGGAGGAACCTGGTGGAGAGGTTTCCAAAGAGTGTAGGGGGAACCCGCTTTGCTGCAACTCGAGTAGCGGGAAGCGCAGCGGACTGGGATGGGGAGACCCGGGATCCGGGAGACCCGGGGTGGGGACGGAGCCCGGTCACGCCAGTGTGACCTTGGCTGGGCGCCTTCTTTCCTCTGGCCCTCAGTCCCTCCAAGCCAGGGTGGGCCTCGGCTGTGGAAACTCGCGGAGCTGGTGACAGCCCAGTGATGGGTGGCGCAGGGGGCGGGGAACTAACCTCAGGAGCCGCGCGGGGGAGGGCTGGGGACCGGTAACCGGTCAGCGAGGCAGGAAGAGGCGGGCGCGACGCGAGCGGCGGGGGGCACCGAGGGGGTGCAGCCCAGGAGAAGGGTGCTCCCCAAGGGATTCCCCGGCTAAGCCGACATGGGGACCCTGAGATGGGGGAGTCAGGTCATGTGGGGGCTAGGGGTCACGTGAGGCCGGAGGGGGTCGGGGTCACGTGAAAGGGGGGTTAAGGAACAATGGGGGCGAGGGGGGCGAGGGTAGCGAGGAGCACCCCTGGACGTCCCGTCTCCTCTCCCTGCCTCACTCACCCCCATGGCGACAGAGGCGGCGGCGACTCTCAGCTCCTGCTTCACACACTTGCCGGCAGGGAGGCGGCAACAGCAGCAGCTGCAGCGACAGCAGGGGCAGAGCGGCGGGCCCCGCACCGCGCATGCGCTTCGCGGGCTCCGCGCCGGCGCAGAACGGGGAGGGGGGGGCGAGCGGCAGAAGGCACGCAGGTGGAGCGCGGCGAGGCGGGCCGAGGGTCTCGAACCAGAAAGAGGCGGGAGGCACGGAGGAGCGTCGCGCTGGGAGTGACGTCCTGACGCCGGGCCCGCCCCCTCGCCGGGCTGTGTGTGTAGCTATGGCAACAGCCGCGCGGGGCCAGGCTGCGCGCCCCACGGCGCACTGCGAGGCGGTGGGCAGCCGGGTGGGTGTAGGGCCGTCGCAGCGCTCCCCGTCTCCCCCGCCGGCAAGGGCAACCACCTGCACGGAGGACCGATTGCGTCACGACCTCTGGAACACCAGCCCCTCCCGAGCCTTCGGGCACAGCGGAAGTCTTTGGAAACGTTCCCACACTCTAGATCCTGACTCTTGAAATTCCTTTTCAACTAGAGTCTTGTTATTCATTCATCCGTCTTCTAACCATTCACTCACCCTCCATTCAGTCGCTCTCTCAATAAACATTTACTAGCACCTACGCGGTGCTGAGCCCAGGGTGGGAGGGCACGGGCGGCGCGAGACGCCACTTCTCGGTTTAGAGGGTGGGCAGGCATGTAACCACTGCTAAAGAGTGAATGGTGCTGTTAAGAGGAGACATCGGGCACCAGACGGTATTAATTTCAGTCTGTCCCAACAGGCCAGGGTGTAACACCGCATGACCCACACCGGAATCACCTGGGGAGTTTGTGCGGTGTGCAGACCCCCGGACCTCCCCCAGAATCTCCAGGGGTGGAGCCAGAGTCTTCACTCCCAAATGCTCCCCACGTAGGTTGTACACACGAAAATTAGAGAACTGACGGCCAAGACGTAAGCTTTGTGGACTTTTCAGGTTTTGCTCATTATTCCATCTTTAGTGCTCATTACAGTGGTGGCCTCAGCAACATTGAGTGCCTACTGTATGCTAGGCACTGTTCCAAGCAGCAAAGAAAACAATAACAGAAAAGGCACCTTTATTGTACCCTAGAAGAAGGAGGCAGATAATAAGCTAAGTGAATAGGCAGTATGCATAGTATGTTAGTGATATATGTTCTATGAAGGAAAACAAAGTGGGGGAAGACGATAGGAGAGATCAGGATTTGTAGTTTTAACTAGATTGCTCCAGGGCAGGCAACCGTGGAGTGATATTTGAGTCAAGATCTGAAGGAGAGGCCCGGTGCAGTGGCTCACGCCTGTAATCCTAGCGCTCTGAGAGACCAAGGAGGGAGGATCTCTCAAAGTCAGGAGTTTGAGACTAGCCTGAGCAAGGTCGAGACCCCATCTCTACTAAAAATAGAAAGAAATTATCTGGACAACTAAAAATACATATATAGAAAAAATTAGCCAGGCATGGTGGTGCATGCCTATAGTTCCAGCTACTCAGGAGGCTGTAGCAGAAGGATTACTTGAGCCCAGGAGTTTGAGATTGCTGTGAGTTAGGCTGATGTCATGGCACTCTAGCCCAGACAACAAAGCCAGACTCTGTCTCAAAAAAAAAAAAAAAAAAAAAAAGATCTGAAGGAGCTGAAGGATCAAGTCATGAGGATTTTGGTGAAGGGCATTCCAGGCAGGTGCCCCATAGAGCCAACCAGATTTGCTGGTGGATTGGATTTGGAGTGTGAGGGAAAAAGAAGAGTCAAAATACCTTCAAGGCCAGCGTGGTGGCTCACACCTGTAATCCTAGCACTCTGGGAGGCCACGGTGGGCAGATCCTTTGAGCTCAGGGGTTGGAGACCAACCAGCCTAAGCAAGAGCAAGACCCTATCTCTATTTAAAAAAAAATAGAATTTAGCTGGACAACTAAAATATATATATATATATATATATGTATATATATATATATATATATATATATATATATATATATAATTAGCCGGGCATGGTGGTGCATGCCTGTAGTCCCAGTTACTCGGGAGTCTGAGGCAGGAGGATTGCTTGAGCCCAGAGGTTGCCATGAACTAGACTGATGCCATGGCATGCTAACCCAGGTGACAGAGTGAGACTCTTTCTCAAAAAAAAAAAAAAAAAAAAGAGAGAAAAAAAATACCTTCAAGGTTTTTAGCTTGAGCTACTGGAAAAATGGAATGACTTCAATTGAGATGTGGATTATGACTCTGGAAGGAGCAGGTTGGGAGGTGGGGGTGGGGAAGATTGGGAATTCTGTCTTGGCCATGTCAGATTTTTGAGATACTCTTTAGATGTTCTTGTGGAAATGTGGAGTAGTCAAAGTCCAGAGTGTAGGAGAGAGGTCCAGGCTGGAGATCCAAACTTCAGCAGTCAGCACAGGGATGCTATTATATTTAAAGCTGTGAGACTAGACAAGACCGTGGAGGGAATGTAGGTAGATAAGAAGGAATGGATACCCAGCCTGCACATGCTATTCTGCAATCAGAAAGTGTGTTTTGGTTGCTGGTACTCCAGGGGACCAGGAGGTAAGGGCAAGAGGCAGGTACCCAAGGTAGGAGGAGGGGGCTTCTGAGGTTGCTTTTCAAGGAGGAGGAAGAGGCAAGATTTCAACCAGCAGAACAGTATTTGCAGAGCCAGGGAAGTGTGAGGGAGTGGGATAAGGTGGGGAACCCCCACCCCAGCGCACTCCTCACCCTGTTGTGGCTTTTCTTGCCTCCTTGCCCACACTGAACTTCATGGTCAGCTGTTTCAGTGCACAGATGGCTGCCACCATAATCTTCCGGTGCCCTGCCCCTTCTGCCACTCCCCACTCTTGGGTTCACCCTGCCCCAGGCTGCTGGAATGTGCTGGACACCAGACAAGGCCTGGGAGGTGAGCCCAGTAGTCCCTGGAGAAGGTGACATCCTCCATGCCTCCCAAGAGGCCAGAGAAGGCCATGCCCTTACTCCTGCCCTGGAGCAGCAAACTTCTCTCTGGAGGCTGCCCCGGTTATGGGCTGTCTCCTCTGCTCAGAGCTTCCTTGGTCTTGTGGGGTGGTGGACAGAGCCTGTTTTGGAGTCAGACCAGTCTTAAACCTCCTCTCTGCTACGTACTGACTTTGTGGCTTTAGGCAAAGTGCCTAACATCTCTAAGAGTCAGTTTCCTTATTTATACAGTGAGACTACCACTGGCAATCATCTTCATCAGCAGCTGTGAGAATTAAATGAGATGGGATGTGAGACACCTGGCAAGGCCTGGGGTAGGAAAGAACCCCCCTCCCCAGGTACAAAAATATATCCCCCCTCCCCTCTCACCTCCCTCCCATCCTGCCAAACATCTGCCCACACTGAGCAGGCTTTCTGCACTGCCTCGAGTCTACTCCCTTCAACCCCACACAGCGGGCTGAGATCCCCCTCTCCATTCTCCTCTCTGACCTCCCTGGACAGTCTGGACAGGGACAGTCTCCCCCCTCTCCCAGGCCCTTGGGTTCCCGGGGTTCCTCCTCCCTCCTCCTTCCTGGCCTCCTCTTCCTCCCCTGTCCTCTGACACAGCCACTCCCCCAACCACTGTGCTTTGCACTCTTCTCACTCTACAGCCCTCAGCTGCTCCCAAATAGTCATTCCTTCCTTCACTTGGCCAAGGCATGGGTGGCTGCCATGTGCCATGTGCTCCGTGTTGTCTTCTGTGCGGAGGAACAGGCTGGGGTGACAACTCTTGCCTGGGAGGGAGGGCACAGTTGGGGAGCCAGCCAGCACGCTATGAGCAGCGGGCAGATGAGAGCCCCTGGCTTCCCCCAAAGAATCTGAATTTACCAGACCTTCCTCCCTGTCCAGCCAGGGGTAGGCTCACCCCTTGGGGTCCCTCCCAGCCATGATCTCCCCTCCCCAGCTTTGCCTCAACTCTGCTCCTCACGGGCTCCTGACCGCCCTCAGACCTCCCTTCAAAACTCAAAAGCTTTTGGAAAAGCCGCCCACCCTGTCTCTAGCTCCTGGCTTCTATTCCTGCCCCACCTACACCTCCCTCCCTGAGCCTCCAGCAGTTTGGTTTTTTTTTGTTTTGTTTTTTTTGAGACAGAGTCTCACTTTGCTGCCCAGGCTAGAGTGAGTGCCGTGGCGTCAGCCTAGCTCACAGCAACCTCAAAGTCCTGGGCTCAAGCAATCCTCCTGCCTCAGCCTCCCGAGTAGCTGAGACTACAGGCATGCGCCACCATGCCCGGCTAATTTTTTCTATATACATTAGTTGACCAATTATTTTCTTTCTATTTATAGTAGAGACCGTGTCTCGCTCTTGCTCAGGCTGAACTCCTGAGCTCGAGCAATCTGCCCGCCTCGGCATGAGCCACCGCGCCGGGCCCTCCAGCAGTTTTGCTAATCTGACTATGCTTCTCCGTGTCAATCATCTCCTGGCCGTCCTGGCAACATCTGGCCCTGTCTTCACTCCTTCCTGGAAACGCTGTTCTTTCCTTGCTCCTGTGACACCACGCACCTCTCTGCTTTTCTAAAATGCACATCTGCTTGGTCAGGGGTTCAAAACTCCCTAAGGGCCAGCATGTTCGGCCCCTGCCAGCCTGGACGCCTCGCTCCACTTGCCACCTTGTGCTCCTGAGCCCTTGCCTTTCTCCTCCAAGGCCAGGCTCTCTCTGGACTCTGGCCCATGCTGCCCCCTGCCTGCAGCCGTGTGTCTCCTCCGTGGCCTCCTCACCCTTCAGGTCCCAATTTAGACTGTGGTCCCTTGGCATGGCTGGCTCCCGGCACACTCTCTGGGGTCTCCCCATGCCCTCGCCATCACCCCTATGAGACTGTAGGCTCCCTGCAGTTGGAGTGTGGCTCTCTCTTCCGCTACGTTGGGGTTGCCAGATTCAATACATGGGACAAACTTAAATTCACTGTGGATCTGAAGTTCAGATTTAACTGGGCAATTTTATATGCTAAATTTGGCAGCCCTAACTGCTGTACCCTTGGGACCCAGCTGTCAGTGCCTGGCATAGAGCGGGAGCTCAGCGTCACTTGAAGGCATAATGCACAGTGATGGTGGCAGGCACAGGTGCTGTGGGGCACAGAGGAGAGGTAGCAGGCTCCCTAGGGGAGGTGACACCTGAGCCAAAGCAGATGGAGATATTAGGTCATGT